AGCGGAAAAAATTTTAATGGACACTGCTGGCATATAAAAAAAAATAAGGTACACATAGAAATAAATGGATAATTTGGGTATATAACCAATTACTAAAGAATACAATGCTGAAAGAACACAAAAAAAAAAATGAATTAATTACTTCACATGGAGTGACTGACTGGTACACTACACAATAATACTTACTACAGACAGAGAGTAGCACAAAAAAAAATACACAGATAAAAAGTATGAGATGAGCGATAACACTGAAAAATATTGCAAAAATAATGAGTCAAAGAAACACTGAGTCTACACTGAAAACACAAGGCTATAAATGTCTCACACACACACAAATGTCTTTAAATGCAAGAAAAATGTCTCTAAACAGAAAATTATCACTGAAGTCTGGAGTAGTAGACGGGATGACGAGTGATGAGGAGAAGGTTGTCCTGTGTGGGTGATGACGCCTCCTACACTCACACTGTCGTCGGAAGAAATGCGCTTTCTAGGTGAACTCACATAACTGGGTTTATCGTTGGCACTCAGCTACAATCTCTTGACCAATTATGTGAAGCAAAACAGTACTAGGACCCGGTACAAGGGTGGAAAAAGCCACAGGTAGATGAGTGAATAGTGGGTGAGTGGGTGGTGGGTGGTGGTGGTGGTGGGAGCATGGCTCTCACTGGCATTCATTCATTCATTCATTAGAGGTTCACCGGTACTTCCTGCCCGGGTCTTCTCCATATGGTGACCCGGCTGTAGCCCCGGTTGGGGGTGTTTTTTCATCTTCTTTCTTCTGTCTTCTTTCTTGGGCCCTCCGGGTGGAGGGTAACATCTCTTCTCTTGCGGCGATCCCCGGAGGGGGGTGTCATCTCACTTCTCATCTTCATCAGCGGCGTCCTTGTCTTATCGCAGGCGTCCATTGGCTTCATCGGCAGGCAAACGCCGGGGTCGAGGGTCTTGGCACTTGTTTGCCTGTAAGTTGTTGGTAGTTGGAAGGGTTCTAGGCAGTTCAGACTTTTACCCAGAAAACAGGGAAAGGGTCCATTGGGGTTTTTTTTTTTTTTTTTTTTTTTTTTTTTTTTTAAAAAAAGTGGGGGAGGGGGGGTAGGGGAGGAAAGAAGGGAAAATAGGAAAGTTTTAAAAAGGTGGGAAGGGTTTTCACTCCTATTTTTTTTTGTGGTGTCCCTCATCGAGGCGGTGGGGGGGCAGCCAGGAGGGGATGAGGTTTTTCCCAGGTCTCGGAGGCCAGGTACACCAGCGGGTGCGGTGTCTTCTCGGTTTGGGTCCCCGGCACTTGGGAAGTGCCTCCATCGGAGTGGCACGTCGCGGGGCGTAAGGAGGTAATGCACTAGTGGTGGGGACCTCGGGTTTTGCAATGGCAGCAGCACTCCTTGACACGATCGATGAGTCTTTGGCAGTAGGGTAGCCAAGTGCAGCCAGTGGATCCCAACTGCAATTTTGTTAGCTCTGCATGTCGGCGGGGGTTCCCTGGGTGACCTGTCATACCAAATCCAGCTCCGCGATGGCCTGGCCCTGGTAGGGGCGCCTGGCTGCAGGGCTGCCCACAGGTCCACTTGCTGCAGCTGATGGCAATGGTAGTCACTGGCTGGGGTTTCAAGGTTGCTGATTTGCCGCGCATCCACGCATCATTCCCAGCGAGGTCGATGTGGCTCGGAATCCAGTTGATTGTTGCTTGTGTCCCTCCCTCATTAAGTGTCTGCAGGTCTTTGATAGCAGTATTAGCTGGATGTTTTTCCCTGGTCCCTGGCAACGGCCCTGGATCGCCGCTCTGGAGTCAACGTGAATGACTGGGGGTGGCCGATGATCCAGGAGTGCATGTTGCGGGGCCCTCTGGATGGCATGGAGTTCTGCCTGGAGGATGGGGGCAGTGATCCTGGAGTCGCCATCCGGCCATCAGGGTGGCATGGTGTACCCCCCGCACCTGTGCGGCCAGTCTCTAGATCCCAGGGGCCATCGGTGTAATATACGGCCAAAAACCCAGGGTGCTCTGCTGCTGCAATATCATTGCAGCCCTTTGCTGTAGCAAAGTGTTGTGGACAGTGAACGCTTTCTAATGGGAGGTCTTGGTGTGGACCACAACTGCTTCTGGTGGCCCAGGGCGGAGACCCGAGTACCCCCCCCCACAGCCGGTCACAGCCCATTTTCCACAATAAGCGCCATGGGGAGGAGTTTTGCTCGCTACATCTGCCACTGACCACACCCACACCGGCCGGGAGACTCCCTAAAGTCTCCCCGTTTTACGTTCAAGGAGGTCTTGCAGCAGTCCCTCTCCCCCCAGGGAGTTGTACGTACTTGGCCCCCTCCTGGCAACCACAAGGGCGATCCTATCGCGTAGGGGCTGCAGTTGAGCCTCATGATTCAGGTGGCACGGTGTTTTATCCACTCGGCGCGCCGAGCATTTATCCGAGCTGCAGTATTTTGGATGACGTCGAGTCTTCGAAGGTGCGAGGGGCGGGTGCTCTCGCTGGCGCTCACTGGCGTGCACTCCACTCACTACCCAAAGAAGGTGGCTTGTAAGCACTCTATGCCACAGGGATGGTGAAGACCACTCTAGCATCCAACTGGGAGCACAAAGCGATATATGAAACAAACTTCAGAGGAACTTGCGTGGCTTACTTCTCTCTCCCCAGCTGGGTTAGGAAGCTGGGTTGGCTGAACTGGCTTAACCCACGAGAATGGCTGACTGAAAGACGTGTAACGATGCACAAGATGAAGGAGCAGGTGGATGACAGGAGACAGGCTCGATGGTAGGCTGAGGCAGGCTGACTAGCGTTCACTTCCACAGTCTGGCTTTTTGACTTGCTTAATTGCAAAATCCAGGTCAACCCTTTGGGGATTGAAGCAATTAGCACACGAACTAAAGCCAGGAAGCTTTAAAAAAAAAGGCTGCAACAGGCTTGCAGGCTGGAGGGAATCAGCGGGTGGAGGAGTGTGATGGTAAGCTGCTAGCTGGAAGGTGGCAGACAGTTCACCTGACTGCGGCTCCCCACAAAGCAGTCTTCTAACTTATGTTATACCCACAAATCCACGCCCACACGCTGTAACCAATTTGTCATGTGGGTTTTCGACTAACGTGGATGGGTTAAAAATACTCACTAGGCTGGTAGTACGTTATATCTATAACGGGAAGTATGGGTAGCGCCAAACAGCCTACCTGCCTCTCTCTGCTCCCTATCTTCGAGCTGACCCACAAGAAGGAGTGCTACAGGGTTGACGGGGTGTTTGAAATCATGTATGGTATGCAGCAATATGAATAACTGTCGATGATTGTAAGCAGGGGCTGTTGGTCGTGAGTAATCTACTGGTACACTGGTTATGCAACTGGTTTCTAGATATGGTACTACTACTGAGAATGACGGTGGTGAGTGAGGTGTTGATGGTTGATGATGGTGATGGTGGGGATGATGTGATGTGGTCATGGTGGTGATGATGGTGATGATGGTCATGGTGTTGTGGTGGTGATGTTGGTGTGATGGTGATGAGGGGATGGTGTGATGATGGTGATGATGACTTTGATGGTGTGACAGTGATGGTGGTGATGATGGTGATCGTATATACATGCTGAGGTAACCTACATGTAAGACAAAAACTGATCAGCTGCTGTTTGTTGCATGTCTTGATTTTTGGTGTTTGATTTTGTTGATTTTGTTGTTGCTGGTTTGGTTATGTTGTCGTTGCTGTCGTTCCTTTGCTTACTTTGTTTGCTACTTTTGCTTTTTACAACTTATGGCTGTTGTTATCCTTTGTTATGTTTTTTTTATTGGTGACAATTGAACTTGTGACAATGAAGCGAAGAGGTGTTCAGCCCTCAACTTGACTTAAGGGTTCAGTACCCTAGCCCCCACCCACTGAATAGAGGGGTTCAATCCCCCTAACTTTGATAAAGGGTTTTTTCCCCAGTCCCTTAGCCTTAAACTAAAGGGGTTCAGTCCTTAGCCTTGACCAATGGGGATTTTTTTTTTTGCTCACAGTCCCTAGGCCTTGGACAAATGGGGTTCAGTACTTAGCTTGATTAAAGGGGTTCAGTTCTTTAGAGTGACTTTAAGGGTTCAGTCCATTAGTCTTTGGACTATTAGATTCAGTCCACCTACCCTTTGACTAAAGGGGGTTAGTCATTAGCACTCAAACTAAAGAGGGTTCAGTCTCCTGGCCTTGACTAAAGTCGTTTCAGTCTTAGTCTGACTAAAGGTCGTTCAGTCCCTAGCTCGACTAAAGAGGTTCAGTCCCTTAGCTTGATTAAAGGGGTTCCAGTTCCTATTAGCCTTGACTAAAGGGGGTTCAGTTATTAGCCTTGACTAAGGGGCTTTCATGTCCCATTGCCTATAGAATAAGGGTTCAGTCCTCTTAGCTGACTAAATGGGATTCAGTCTCTTAGCCTTGATAAAGGGCTTTTCAATCCCATAGCCTTGACTAAGAGTTTCAATCCTTTAGCCTTAACAAATGGATTCAGTCCCTTAGCCTTGACTGAATGGGATTCAGTCCATTAGCCTTGAGTAAAGGAGCTTCAGTACCTTTGCCTTATCTAAAGAGATTCAGTCCTTAGCTTGACTAAAGAGGTTCAGTTCCTTAGGCTTGACTAAAGGGGTTCAGTTTCTTAGCCTTAAAGCACTGACATGAGTACGGGTGACACCACAAAAAACCCTGAAAGTGAGGCGCAGCAGTAGAGACCGCTTAACTAGGTAGCGAGACTTCAAGGTATACCTTTAGTCTACCTGGACGTTATCCGGGAGTCAACGACCCGCGGCCCGATCCATGACCAGGCCTCCCGGTGGATCAGGACCTGGAATCTACCAGGCTGTTAATGCTGGACGCACACAGTACAATCATACGAACCACAGGGGGGCCCCCCCCCTGGCTGATCCGGCAATGACTTAGGTATCTGTTCAGCTCTCTCTTGAAGGCAGTCAGGGGTTTATTGGTAATCCCCTATTGCTTGAGGGAGGCTGTGATACAGTCTTGGGCCCGGACCCTTAGGTGTTTTCTTTTTGTGTACCAATGGCGCCCTACTTTTAATTGGGGGTATTTTGGCATCGCCTGCCCAGTTCTTTTACTTTAGTAGGGATGATTTCTGTGTGCTGGTTCGGGGACATTTCTTCCTGATCTTCCAAGTGTAGATTATGATATATATCTCTCTCTTGCCTTCCAACGAGTTACAAGTCAAGTGCTTCATGGCGTTCCCAGTAGTTAAGAGTGCTGACAGAACTTGATGTCCAGTAAAAGTTATCTGTACACTCTATGGATCTGCGATTTCACCTGCATTTGTATGGAGATGTTATGTACAGCAGTATTTCCAGCTAGGAGAGAAACAAGTGATTTGAATAGGATCATCAATGGATGGGATTCTTCGTTTTGAACGTTCTCATTATCCCATCTATGGTGGCACTGCTGTGTTCTTGTAAAGTTGAGATCCTAAGCATTACTACTCCAGGTCACTTACTTATTTTTCACCGCTCTATTGTATGGACCAGTGTTTGTAGTATTTAAACTTGTTAAGGGATTATCACCTCATGCTTTACATAACAGTGTAGTTGGAATTTGTCAATCATTGAATCATATTGTTTTCGTTGCCCACTGGAAAAACATTGTTTATATCTTTTGGAGGTTAACTGACGTCCTCAGCAGATGACCAACCTCATGCAGGATCCTGTATCGTATGCCAAAGGGGATGATACGGTGCTGTGATGTATATCTCTTTTCTGTGTCTGATATGAGATTGAGGAACAGATGGGGGCGGTACTGTGCCTTGTGGAACAGAGCTCTTCACTATTTTGGCTGCTTCCGATCTTAACTCTGTTGACCACTACTCGTTGCTTTCGATTGGTTAGAAGTTGACGATCCATCTCCCACTTTGCTAGTTATTCCTTCTGACACGTATTTTGTGTGCTGTTACAGCCATGATCGCATTTGTTCAAATGCTTTAGCAAGTCTGTGTATATTACATCTGCATTATGATTTTTCTTCCAGTGCTCCAAAGTGATGGATCCATAGTGATCCAGTAGTTGTGTGAGGCAGGAGCCGACATGTCCTGAACCATGTTGACATGGATTGTGCAGTTTTTGCGGAATCCAGGTGTTTGCAATCTTGCTTCTTAGAACTCTTTCTAAGCATTGTTATTGATTTTGGGACGTTTGAGCTATTGTCTACAGTACTTAGCTATATTCTTTGCTGCCACCTTTAGGGAGTGGGGCTATATCCGTGTTTTTAAGTGACTGAATTTCACCCATGCCAAGGCTCCTTCTCCATAGGTGTACTGGGCCCGCTGAGGAGGGGTTTCTTGCATTTCTCTTTAATGAACACAGAGTACCACGTGTCTGGGCCTGGGGCTGAGTGCATTGAATGTTGTTCAATGGTTTTTTCAAACAAAAAAGTCGATCGGAGTTATGGTTATGTCGGAAAACTGACATACAATTATGGGTTTTGAGGGCTATTCATGAAGAACATCATTTGGGTCGTCGATACACAGATCTCCCCCCCCCAACCCCGATAGTGGATCACTAAAACACAGAGTTTACTGGGATTTCAGTATTTCACTCATTTCCTTGTTGTCATCTGTGATAAGTCCCATACATGTCTGCTGTAATGGCCGATACTAGATGTGGTATTTGGCATGGTTTTTGGCATATGAAAATAATATTTCGAGTTTGTCTTTCAATTTCACTTGATAGCTTTAAGGACTCCTCTGTCCTCCTGGTTCCTGTATGAAGTCCTTTACTTAAATTCGGTAGTTTCACTTCCCTGGTCAGCGCCTACTTCGTGTATCAGATATTCTAACGTTCCTGAGGAGTCAGTGTTTCTTCGTCGTCTTCTGTAGAGGGAGCGTCTTTCTCTCTCCAGTTTACTCATGCTCTTCTTCTTTCTTAGGGGAATATGCATAGGAACATACTTCAGCTGCCAGGAAGTTGATCCTTTAAAGGCACTGGTTTGGCTCCCATATTATTTAAGATATCTTCAACATGTTTCATTTATGACATGGTTTACCTGGTCCCAGTTGATGTTCTTGTTGTTGAAGTTGTATTTTGTGAAGACACCTTACAGATACTTGCATTTTGCTGATCTGGACCCCTGTGCATGTACGTCTGGACTCGAATAGATTGTGATCAGAATGGTTGTTTTTGATATTGTTATGTCTATTACCAGGTATCCTCATTATTTGTGAAGGTGAGGCCTAGTGTGATTTCCTGTCTTGTTGGCTCCACTAGCTGCTGGCTTAAGGTGGGTTTTTCGCAGGCATTTAGTAGCTCATGGGTGTGTGACCTTTAAGCTTGCTCTACCTCCAGGGATTGTTTCTGCTATAATAGTCTTTGCTACACTTTTCCATTTTGTTTGCCTTTGTTGAAAATCACATGCAGTAAGAA